AAATAAATAAATAAATAAATAAATAAATAAATAAATAAATAAATAAATAAATAAATAAATAAATAAATAAATAAATAAATAAATAAATAAAATAAGTTAACTACCGGTTCTCCCAAACTAGTGTGAACTGGCTGAATCCCACCACTGCTTCCCCATCATACATGAGCAACCTATCATGTGTCAGGTGTTGTTGAACTGTATGAACCCTAACACATATAACCAATGTGAGGGATTGTGACACAGGAAGCATGTCCCACATACATTAAATTCATTAGAAACTTACTGGATCAATATAGCAAATTTCCATGAAGCTGTGTCTTGTTACATAGGCTAATGTAATACAGTGTTGGAAAGAAATCTTACCAGGTTCCTTTCTGAGCCAGGAATAAGGAATATAGCCAGTTACTTGAAACTGAAGTGATGTTTATTCCAAGACTGCAATATACAATCAGCTATTGGAAGCATGAGGGAGAGCCCTTCCTTACAAGCCCTCTATATAAAAAAAAATCAGAGTCTTTGTTCCACAATGTGCACCTTCTAGGAATTCTAAGAAAGTGCACTTTCTAGTCAGGCACACTGCTGAGTTGTGGTTTTACCATTTGTTGATTAAAAACGGTAATCTTTTAGAGGAAAGGACCTTTCTTTCCTATTTGATCAAAGAGATTTCAAGGTTGAGTTTCAAACAGGGAGGAATATGCACCTGATTACATTGGTATTTTCCAATGCCTTTTGATCTTTGTCTAGAGATTATTCTAAATTATGATTTTTAAACTTTTTGTCCTGATTGCGAAGAATGTATGATGAGAGGACTTTGATTTCCTTCTCACAACAGCAAAAGTTTTCTGGTAAGGATTAAAAAAAAAAAGGGTGGTTAGCTACCTTGATAAAAACAAACAAAAACAACCTCCTCATTCCTTCCTGATCCTAACCCTGAAAGCTAATGATACTACCATATCAGTGGAACTCAAATTGGAAGGATCATAAAATAAAGGACATTAGAGTTATATCCTTGATTTCTAGATTAGTAGACTTTCCTGTTAAAAGGGAAAAAATAAAGACGATTACACAAATATAGATGATTACACAAATATTCTGGATTTTTTGGAAAATATTTTTTTATATAGCTCTAGCTCAGTAATAAATGCATTGATTCCATATTAGTAGTGGGATTCAAATTTATTTTACTACCGGTTCTGTGGGCATGGCTTGGTGGGCGTGGCAGGGGAAGGATACTGTAAAATCTCCAGTCAGAGGTGGTATTTGCTAATTCTCTGAACTACTCAAAATTTCCACTACTGGTTCTCCAGAACTGGTCAGAACCTGCTGGATACCACCTCTGCGCAGTATACAACACAGTATTTTCTAGTTGGGGATTGAAAATGGTGTTCTCTCAAGATATCTATTCATAAATGTCTCTCTGATATGAGCCATGAATTACATTACAGATTATGAGGAACATAATGAAAAGGTGAACTCATTCTAAAACTATTCAGCTATTAGTTGCCTCAGATTTTGTGTGGGATCCAATTTATTTTTTCAAGTCTTGATGTGAAAATCTATTTCAAATTTGCTAATCCTGTTGTCTATCCCATAGGTTTTCTCTCCTCTGGAAAGCAAACAGCAAGCTGGTTGTCTTGGGATACACCCAAATGCAAAATCCAATCCAGTCTTTTACAACTCTTTCTTGTTCTGTGTCGAGTATTCTTTCTCCAAAAAACAAAACAACACAAAACAGGTACTCTCTAAATGATTCAAAATTTCAGACCAATCACCTGTCATGCCCCCATCAGAGTCTGAATCTGAAGGGGAAATTGAGCTGGAACAAGAACTGACAGAGATCAAGAGGGTGGCTCCCTTGGCGTTGGAGGAAACTGAGGAAGGGCAGAGTCAGTCGGGGCAGGGCTTTTCAGGATTAGAAAGGCTTGTGAACAGGGAGGAGCAGGAGAGACAGAGCTCAGGCAAAGAGCAAGGACCAACCCCTCCTGATCCTAGAGCATGGAGAGAAGGCAAAGCCAGCACAAGGCACACCTGGGGACTGAGATGTAAGGAGGTGCTCGTGGGAGGGGCATTTGTCAGGAACAAGCATGGAATCTGTGAAGCCTCATGTTTACTTGCTGATGCCTGGAGATTACTGTGCTCTTATGTTGTGGGATTTGCCCGGTTTGCCTGCTTTGCTGAAATTCTTGCCCTGGTTATTGTTTGGCTAACCTGGCTTACTGAACTACTCATAGCCAAAAGCTGTTTAAGGTGTGTGTGAGAGCTTTGCTCCAGGACTTGTTGTAAACATGGGGATATTTGATGGCAAAGTTGGAGCAATAAAGGGGAGTTAGACCTGTTCTCTGGCTGTGTTGCTTTCGTACCTTGCCCTGGGTTATCACCTCACCTCACTCACTCAAAGATAATAGCAGAAGGAATATGACTGTCCCTTTTTTTTGTACTGGCTGAGACTGGGAAGACAACACAACATACCAATAACAGGAAACAAGACAATGTCCGATCCCAGTGACTTAAGCAGAATCATGCCTCCAATGCCTCCTTTTTTCCTCTTGTCTCAAGAAGTTGCATCTAGTGTGATGCATATAGTGGATGTGGATTTCATTTATTCATTGAAAAGAGTTAATTGGTTGCCAATCTTGGAGCAAACAACTCTGGGTGCTTATCAACAGGGATAAAAATACAAACAACAAAACCAATATTGAAAGAGAGAAGGGAAGGGGAGGGACCAGATGCCCAATTCATAATTATTCACATCCATTTCTTCAATTCCCCAGGTTCTAACCTTACTCTCTCAGTGCCTAGAGCAGGGCTGTCAAACTCCCAGCCCATGGGCCCGATGCATCACCTGCTGGCCACGCCCATGCCTATTTTAGAAAAGGCGGGGGGAAGTCCTGATACATCACGTGACATCACCATGATGGTGTGAGTTTGACACCCCTGGCCTAGAGGAAAAACTAGCTCTTCACTAAAAGCTTAATACTTTCCAGATTACAAGGGGAAATGGCTTCCCAAGGTCAGAGGCTGCTAGAAAAAAAGGATAGTTCAAAATTCCTACCAGATGGCAAGGGAAGGCACTTGGAGTATGCTTGCTGTAATGCTGTATGCAGTCTAGAGGAACAGGCAGATGTCTTCATGAAGAAGTAATATAATAGATAATCTGGCCCTATGACATGTAGAGCTTTATAACAAGCACTTAAATTCAACTGGGAAGAAACTGGGTGACACAATAGCTTGAACAGCAACTTGGTCCACATGTTGTCTGAAAGCAGTCTTTCTCTATATGAAACACTCCATTTATTCTGTATATTTTTGAATGATATTTTTAAACATTTGAATATTACAGAGCTGAAGTTACAAAAGTAATACAATAATAGGGAAGGGAAGGGAAGACATACTGCAATGAAAGTAACATTTTATTTTTCAAATCAGGCACTGGAGAACTATTCAGTGTACATTTATTTTTGTTATACATTGTATCATATACATGATTCACTAAATGAAATTATGTTTATTAATGCAATGAAGATAAATCAACTTGCTCCACCAGCTGAAGCATCAAAGCAGCTTTTCCTCCATCCAGTTGTTGGTCTGGCCACTTCTCAACTTCAAAGGATGTTTCTCAACTTATTAGAGAAAACTGAATGTTGTCCCAAGACTGAAAGAAAACTGTTTTCCTTGTTTTGTGCTGACCTTAAGCATTGGATGAAGAAGACTCCAGTAATTATAAGGGTAATAATAACACCATTTTTTAAAAAAATGCAAGATTCATTAGTAGATTTGGTGCAATTGACTAATGGGTTGTCTTTCTAATACTGTAGTCTGAATGTTCCCATGGCTTTTTAATCAACTTTTCATAAATGTGAAAGTTTCTAAACAGGTTAGCAGAATTTTAAGCATCATATATTAAAATTTCATCCATAACATGTATAACATTAAAGGATGCATTAATGCATTAAGAGGAATTACAACACACAACCTATTTTGTTTATTGAAAAGAAGCTGTTTATAAGCTTCTATAAATTACTATTGGATCTGTGTTTTAAGCTCATATAAGCCAATGTGATTTTGAAGGAAATGCAGTGAAAAGATCAAACTGATTTCAGTAAAGGGATTCAAAATGTCAATTGCAATTTCACCCTTCATACAAGATTATACAGGCTTCTGGAGATAAACACTATTAATGTCAAATTTTAAAATACCAATTTTAAAATGATGCGTCACCCGTATACAACAATCAAGGAGCATAGGGATTCAGAGTTCTTGTTATAAAGCAGGAAGCCATCCTGCTAGAATCAAACACAGCTATTTCCCTGGTGGGCTATTGGAATAATTCTCAGTGTCACTTTCTATATCAGTGAATAATTTCAATAGATAATATTCAGTAGTGGCAACTGCTTCCATGCATACAGCCAGATAGCAGCTATTTGTACTGATCTGGGACCAAAAAAAAAAAAACCTGTGTTCTTAACACTACAGAGATGAAACTAATTATTAAAAAATGGTTGAGAAAGAAAGGAATGTGATGAAGATTTTTACTAGAGTTTAAATGACTCTTACAGATATCACTTTATGCATGCATAATGTAAGTATAGAGTATATACTTAGTATATAAGTATAAACAACCAAGATGATTGGGGGACTGGAGGCTAAAACATATGAAGAATAGTTGCAGGAACTGGGCATGGCTAGTCTAGTGAAGAGAAGGACCAGGGGAGACATGATAGCAGTGTTCCAATATCTGAGGGGCTGCCACAGAGGCGAGGGGGTCAAGCTATTTTCCAAAGCACCTGAAGGTCAGACAAATAATAATGGATGGAAACTGAACAAGGAGAGATTCAACCTCCTATATAAAGAGAAATTTTCTGACAGAACAATAAACCAATGGAACAGCTTGCTTTCATCACTGGAGGCTTTCAAGAAGAGACTGAGCTGCCATTTGTCAGAAATGGTGTAGGGTCTCCTGTTTGAGTGGGAGATTGGACTAGATGACGTATGGGGTCCCTTCCAGTTCTGTTAATCTGTAATCTGTAATTGCTTTCATCACTGCAAATGGTTGCTAAACATGATTGTTGCTAATGAGGACTACTTGCAAGTGGGAAGAAATAATAAATTCTCCTTCCACTTTTTACCTGTAAGTTATCCAGTCTTCATCAATTGAAAAGAGTTGACATTTTGCTGGCTTTGTCACAGAAATGAGGGCTTTTCTTATAAAAATTGATGTTTCATCAGAGACTGCAATAAATTTTGGAGAATAATATTAAAATTACACAAGGTAAACTATCAAAAGTATTATTAAAGATTTAATCTTCAGTTTGATTCAGAGTCCCAATCTCAATTGGTAAAATCCTAACATTTCATATCCTAACCAAGGACCTAAGGGCTATTAAGGTAATGTTTGATTATGTAGGCAGTTCAAGTAAGGTGGTTTTTTGCAAAGTCAGAATATTCAAAATTCTAATAAGTTCAAAATTTCCATGTACCTAGGCAGTCCTTTGGGTATTGTTCCAAGGGCACTTATTACTATTGGTACAACCGTTGATTTCTTCCTCCATAGTCACTCAACTTCAATTTGAAAATCATAGTATTTTTTTTTCTAGCTGTTTCTCTTCAATTTCTGCATCACCTGGTATTGAAATAAAAACACTTTTTTTCTTTTCTACAATAGTGATGTCAGGCATGTTGTGGGCCAGATGTCTATCTGTTGGGATTCAAAAGTCTTACAAGATCATTTTTGAGAACTTTGTCAATTTGGTGTTCTCAATAATTTTGGCTACATTCCAACCCAAACTTCTGGCAAAGCTTCCAATATATGATTTTGGCAACTTGTCCCTTGTTTCTTATTGTATTTTATGGTCTCACCAGTTCTTCCTTTCAGGCAAATGATATTTCTTGCAGATCTTCCAATGCACCATTGTTGCTACTTTATCATGCTGCTGCTTGTAGTCAGTCTGTGTAATCTTCTTGCAGCAGCTTACCAGGTGGTCCACTGTTTCTTCAGCTTCTTTGCTTAGGCAGCACTACTGTCTGTTTCTGTCTTCTCAATTCTGGATTTGTATGCATTTATCCTTAAGGCTTGGTCTTGTGCAGCCAGAATTAGTTCCTTGGTCTTTGTTGGTCTCTGCTCTTAGCCATTGCCATTATTATAGATAAAATCAATCTCTTTCCCTGCTATTTTTAATGTACTGGACATGTAGTGCTTTGTCTTTCCACGTTCCATTCTGTTCTTCAGTTGGTCTTTCTTGTAGGCCAGTTGGTCTTTCCAGTAGTCAACAAGCCTTCCTGATATACTAACCTCAGTGAATTTTCATTGTTGTCCTTCAGATATTCTTCCAAAGTCATTTTTTCTCCTTCAACCATCTGATGTACTTGCAACATTCCATACACACCTATTTGCCTTGGTAGGTAGAATGTGTCAATGTCACTATGTGGATGTAGGGTTCATTGTCATTTTTTTTCTGGGATTTCCTATCCATTGCTTTTATTTCTGCTTGAATCCAATCCACTATTCCAGTTGTGCATCAAATGACTGGAGTTGCCCAGCTGTTGATTGCCTTGATGGTATTTCCTCCATTGAGTTTGGACTTTAAGATCTTCTTCACTCTTTTGATGTATTCACCTCTAATCTTTTTCTTGATTTCAGTGTGCTTGATGTTGTCAACTTGTAGGATGTCCAGAAATTTGTACTAATCATCCTCATCCAGAATCTGAATGTTTTTTTTTTTTGTGGTGCATCTTGATTTCTTCAGTTCTCACTATTTTTCCTTGTTTGTAGTGAATGTGGCACATTTGTCCAATCCAAATTCCATTGCAATATCTTGGCTTATATACGGATCTTGGCTATATATAGTGCTGAGCAGCAATTCTATTTCATATGGCATATTTCCATACATTTTCCATAATTCAGATCATCCATGTAAAGGAGTCTGGTAGATGTTTTTGATGTTCAATAGCAATGGCCTGAGTTATCCAATATTGTTGACAGAGAAAACAGTGCAATGTCAAATAGTAGTGGTGATAGTGAATCTCCTTGAAATATTCCTCTCTTGATATTAACCTCTCCCAGTCTCTCATCATTAACCTGCAACTGTGTCTTCCATTGTGCCATGGATCTTTGTACATTTTTTTTTATGTTTCTACTGACTCCTGTTATTTCTAGGCACTTGATTATCTAGTCATGTGGCAGGGAATCAGATGCCTATTTGTAGTCAAGCCATGCTACATTTAAGTTGGTCTGTCTTCTCTTGCAGTTTTCCAAAATCATTTTGTCAATTAGGAGCTGATGTTTTGTTCCTTTGCTATTGGGGCAGTTTCCTTTCTGCTCAGGTGGAAAGAGATTATTTTCAACTAGGTGCTATTGAACTGCATCAGCTACCATACCAGTTAACAATTTGAAAGTTGTTGGTAAGCTCATTTTCAAGAACCTTGTCAATTTGGTGTTCCCAGTAATTTTTTCTGCATTCAAACCCAAACTTTGTGAATTTGTTGTTGTTGTTATTATTATTGTTGTTGTTGTTGTTGTTGTTTATCGATGCATGAAGGTATATAAATGATAATTACAGAGTATGTGTGTGAAAAAAGACATTTTTCAGAAGATTTGACTACTAAGACTCAAAAAATAGATATTACCAATGATTTTCTCATAACTATCACAACCATAACTTGCAATTGCAAGTAGACCCTTTGTAAGCGAATGCCGAAGTCACATTTAACCACTAAGCTTCCCTTTTCAGACAAAAATCAAATTTGAAAAAAGAAGTATAATCACGTTCTCGCTGGCTTGGAGAAGCAGGAAAATCATTTATTTTCAGTATCTGCTCTTTGTCTGAGAAGATAGTCCAAGATATTATGTGTAATTAGAAGCCCATTTTCTTCCTTTATTGCTTTTTAAAGGTCCAACTTTCATAACCATTGGGAGCAACAGGGAGCACAATACAATGGACTAACCTACATTTAATTTATGTCCTTGCTTTTCCACATTCAACTCATGGTAATTGCTGTGCACCTTAGTCCATCCTACCATCCTAGGAAAGCTCCAACCATTTTGCTTTCTTCTTCAATGCATTAGGACAAAGGTTAAGTGCAGGTGTCTCCTGGGCACCTTGTTTATAGTCCCAGACATCAATATTTGTGATCAAAGTGGTCTGTTTTCCCCCTTCCCAACAAAGTATGCTTGTAAATTTCCTCAAGTATTTTAAGCTTTTGTTATGTCACTAATATAATTAGAATTTGACAAGATGCAAAATAAACTTTTACTGGAAACTCAAAAGGGAGATTTCAGGAAATAGAGGATATTGCTTTTTTAAAAAAGAAAAAAAAGTTGGGATTTAAATTAGTACCTGATGTTACTTATTATCTATGTATTACCATATTCTTAGGTTTTCGCGGGTACTTACATGTATGGTATTCAGCTTTGCTCGGGTATTTTCCCATGCCATTGTTTATTTAGTTGTGCTTTAGTTGTGTTTTAAAACCACAACTACAATGACGTGGGAAAATACCCGAGCAAAGCTGAATACCAGATAGATGGATAAATAGATAGATAGATAGATAGATAGGGAATTAAAGATTTATTTTGGAGTCACAATTTATTTTGAGGCAAGGGTTTGAATCTAACTTTTCATTGATAAATGGAAGAGCTTCTCTTTGTAGGAAAAAAAATCAGTATAATTAATGGTTTCCATTTGAAAAACAGTCAGATATAGCTCAAGGGATGGAGCCTAAGAATCTTTATCTAAAATGTCTCTACAGTTTCATCATCAATCCTTAGCATCTTCAGATGTAGCTGGAAAAAATGTGTTCCTGAAAATCTGAAGACTTTGAGCTATCCAATGTTAGCAGTATTAATCTAGATCAGGGCTATCAAACTCCCAGCCTGCAGGCCTGATGCATCACATGCTGGCCATGCTCATTCCTGGTTTAGTGAAGTGGGGGAAAGTCCCAATTCGTCACATGATATTGCCATGACAATGTGAGTATGACACCCCTGACCTAGATGGATCACTGGTCTGACTCAAAAGAAGACCTGTTTATACATTCATCACAATGCCCTTCAGTACCTCTCAGCTATTTTCAAATATTTATTTATTTATTTGATTTGTCAATCACTTACAAGATAATAGATATAAGTACAAATATGATTAAGAATACAGGAAATAGATATGAAAAAATGGGGACAATAGGACAGGCATGATTGTGAACTTATGCGCGCCCCTTAGGAACCTCTTAGGAATGGGGTGAGTTCAATAGCGGATAGTTTGAGGTTAAAGGAATGGGGTTGTTAGAGGATGTAACAACAGAGTCAGGTAGTGCATTTCAGGCATTGACCACTCTGTTGCTGAAGTCATACTTTCTGAAATCAAGTTTGGAGCGGTTTACATTGAGTTTGTATCTGTTGTGTGCTCTTGTATCCATTTCAATAACCTCTTTGCATTGGCCATAACTGTTGTACTAATGACAGTTTAGACCCCTAGAAGAGACAGAATTGCCTACTTGAGTTATCTGAGAACTTGCTCACCTGGAAAACACTGATTGAGTTAAAGCAATTTGTTTGATAGGTCTGCTTCAAATTAATTTAATCTGGGGACATTTTGTAAGCTTTTCTTTCTTTATTCCATGTTAGTAACAGTTTGTTATGGATGTGGATATTGTTGTCTTTTTTCCCACATAAAGGGCAAAGGTAGGCTTCTGAATGAAATTATCACAATACACAAAGTTCTGATGCCTGCTTCTTTCAAATTCAAACATATTTACCTCACAGAAATAGAAAGAGCACTCCAATCTTAAAATATGGATTGTGACTCTATTCCATTCACTACAATAAATGACTGCTATATTCTAGCAAATGGCCCCAGGAATTTACTAATAAAAGTTTATATAAAATAAGATTAAGGGTGCTCATGCAAAGCAAATTTATTCATTGATTTATTCATTGATTAACTTATGATGTGATTGATTACCATTTTGACAGGAGAAATGGCTGTGGAGGCAGACTAGAAAATAGAAAGATGAAGATGTTTAAGAACAAGTAATTGTTTTTTTTTTCTTATCCATTTATACTGAAAAGAATAACATGAGAAGCATCTGTGGGGGAGAAAAAAATGATTTTTAAAAGTAAGTACCTGACCAAGGGAACAGTTTAGCCAATGATAGACACTAGGTTCCATGAAAAAGTAATGCCAACAGTTAAAACTTTTACTGTCCTTTGGATGAAACCATTAGAAACTCAGTAAAAA